GGTCCACGTCACAAGTACTGGTTTTAAAGTTAGGGGGACGAACGCACCAAGTAGTACTGCAGGGGGTTTGGCCAGATGTCGTCCTTGATGACCTCCCCGAGCTCGTCAGCTCCAGCATCGGCGTGGTCGGTGAACCAAGTGAAGAAGCTCTCCGGTTCTTCATGTTGCCGCTTCCTTCCAGCTTTATTCTGAGTCTGGTTTGAACGCTTGGTCAGGTCCTGTTGACGTGCAGAGGAACCAATTATACATCCCATCAGCTCACGAGAAAAATAAATTAAATAAAAATCACACAAGGACGCTAACACTCACCTTTCCTGACTTCCATTTGATTTCTGTTGACTTTGAAGATGGGTCTCCACTCTCGTTCAGATGGAACTCTTTGGAAAGTACTTTGTTTTCGAAGTATGGATTTTCATCAAAATACTAAAATAAAAAAGGAAAAACAACATTCGGGGTATGAAAACATAACCTACGCTTTAATATCAAGCGAACGCAACATCGGGCCACTTACAAAATCTATTCTGTAGCCCGACTTGATGTCTTCAAACTCTGTCACTTCCACCCGGCTCAGGTAGTGAAGTGCTTCTTCGTCCTCCTCTCCCAGTAGGGCAGATACTACAGGAGTAGAAGTATTGCTAACGTTCGTAACTTGTGTTTAAATTAAAATAGATAAAATGTCAGATTTGCGGGGAATCGCTCACCCTGTGGATGGTTGACAAATGTGGTGACCCAGAAGTTGGGGATTTTGGCGATCAGTTCTGACCTCTTCTGAAAGAACGGCTGACGGAGTTTGTTGTATTTCTGTTCTACTTTCAGGATCTCCTCACTGGCCTGCTCGTTCAACCTATGGAAAAATAAAAAATTATATAAATTCAAACAGGAAGAGACATTTTCTGTTTACATATATTTACTTTAACAATGTACTTAAAAATTTTTTACTCACCTGTCAATTTCATTTTGAACTTCATCGATGTGTTCAATAGCTTCTTGCTGCTCTTTCTCTGTGAGAACAAAATAAAAATAGTCACACAAACAGTGGGTCTATAAGTTACGTGTTATTATATGTGGATAGTTATCAGATTTAATGCATCTATATCAGGATAATAAACAGTTTAGGTGTGTAAGCTATGGTGTTTTACAGTGCACGGAACCCCGGGTTCCCTCGGAGGATAAGGTAATGCAAGCGGCCAATAGCAGCAGCGCTCGCCGCTCAAACATCCACCGTTTCCTGCCGGCTGCTGCCTGCAGGGCCGCGTGGTTTAAATGTGGGACAGAAACTGCACGCACAGCCGCGATAACCCGGGACAGATCCAGGGCAGACGTCCGGACGAACCGCTAGCAGTTTAGACCGCTGCTCCAAAGATGGAGGCCAGCCTATAGATAAACAGACGGGCTGATTTCGAGGTTAAACGTATGGCAGGACTTGTAGATTTAAATGAAAGAAAACACAACGTCGTCAGCTAGCGTTAGGTAACACTGCAACAACAAACAGCATTATGCTAACTATGCTAACATGTGAAACGCAAACAAAACTCCGGTTATTAACATCAAAAACCGTATGAGACGCGACTTGAAGCGGTTGAAAGTAAATGTGAAACAAAATAAAATGAGGGTTATTTTCTAAAAACTGACCACTCGGTGTCCATCGACTTAAATGGCCACGCTGTGGTGATGCTAAATGGCTAACATGGCCTCGCGCAGCTTTAAACAACAGAAGAGCGGCGGCATGCTAAAACACCACCGAGCTGGAAAATACGCAGCACTCATTGCGGCGAACACACAAAACACGCTCCGGAAAGCAAAAGCACGGCAGCACAGCCAATTACCACCAATTAGAATGCATTTATCGGTTAAAACAAAAATATTATTGAAGAAAGTGAAAATGGCGCTGAATATGTGGCCGCCATTCCCCTTACCGGAGGTCTCGTCCGCTCCGTCATGGTTCGAGTTCAGCTCCTTTTTACTCGATTTCGCTGCCGAGGCAGACATTTTTCTTCTTCCCGCGAGTAGAGGGTAACTCAAAGAAAACGCCAGAAAAGGGTAGCCGGTCGCGCTGAGTCTCCTTGAACAGGAGAGCCGTCAAATCGCTGCAAAGTTCAGCGTGGAGGAGCCGACAACGTGCTGCTGCTTTCCACACAATGTAGCTGCCGAAGAGCGAGGAAGTCACCGCGCGCTGCTTTCATTACGAACGCGACGCGCCGAATGGACCACCGAGCAGCTCCGCCTCTCAAAATAGGTCTCACTACTCCGCTCCAATCTGCTGATTTACTGCTGTATCCTGACTTAAAATCACACCCAAATTCGACAAAACACTCAATTGTGTCATTCTCACGCAAGATGACGGAAACAACTCTGGGAAAAAATAAAAATTTGTCGAGGCAAAGTCAAATCTTTAGGACCGACTCGCACTGGCGCACTTATAAAAACAAAAGCTGAATGTCAGCAGAAGGAGGAGGTTTGATCTGATGGATGGAGCTTATTATCAAGTCAAACATGGCGTTTTATTTAAAACAGTTTTTGATATTATTTCAACGAGTTGATTTTTCTAAACAGCAAAGAAAACTACAGTAGCAGCTACAATGTAAGTATGTTTTACAAAACAAATTACACTACAGAAACAGAACTTGTTAATGTTGAATGCTAATGACAACTAAATTTAGCCAAAATAAGCTAAAAATGAATTGTTAAAGCTAAATTAAATTAAACTAAATACCAAAAGTCAAATGTAGCAAAATACTGGCTAAAATCTAAAAGTACTAATGCTAGCTGAAATACCAGCGATGAATTAATAACAGTGGCAGATGCTAACAAAAAATATAACATGTATAGCAAAAGGATAACTAATTGTATTTAAGGTGGGAAGAGGTTAATTAAATATAGCAAAAGTTGAGCTAGGGAGCAAATATTATTTAAAACATGCAAAAGGCAAACTAAAAACACCACTAAAGCTAAATGTAGCTTTAGGTTTGCTAAAAGTGACAATAGGTTAGCTTAAAGGAGCAAAAGTTTTGCTAAAATTTTGAAAAAGTTAGCTTAAGCTAAAAGTAACAAAAGCACAGCTAGCTGTATTGAAAGGTTAGCTAAACATAGCAAAAGGCTAGCTAAAGGCATCAAAAGGTTGACTRAAAGCTAAAAGTAGCAAACGCATTGCTAATTGTATTTTTAGGTTATCTAAAATTGACAATACGTTAGCGAAAAGTTGCAAAAGTTTAGCTTAAAGGAACAAAAGTTTAGCTAACATTTTGAAAAAGCTAGCTTAAAGCTAAAAGTAGCAAAAGCTCAGGTAGTTATATTGAAAGGTTAGCTAAATGTAGCAAAAGGCTAGCTAAAGGCATCAAAAGGTTGACTGAAAGCTAAAAGTAGCAAACACATTGCTAACTGTATCTTTAGGTTAGCTAAAAGTGACAATAGGTAAGGTAAAAGGTGCAAAAGTTTAGCTTAAAGAACAAAGATTTAGCTAAATTTTTGAAAAAGCAGTTCTTAAAGCTAAAAGTAACAAAAGCTCAGGTAGTTGTGTTGAAAGTTTAGCTAAACGTAGCAAAAGGCTAGCTAAAGGCATCAAAGGTTGACTAAAAGCTACAAGTAGCAAAGCTCAACTACTGTATCTAAAGCAGAGGTTCTTAAACATTTTGGGTCTGGATTGGGACCCTTTTATAAGGGTGAAATTTTCCAGGGACCCCCTCACGAGTCCCATGCTGTTTTGAACATATTTTGCTGTCATTTTAACTCTTAAATGCCATGGAAATATTATCATAGATTTAGTTTAGTGTGTTTGTTTTACCAGTGCATTGTTCCCCATATGCATTTTTAAATAATAAACAAATGAACAATTTGGAGAAATTCTTTGAGGACCTCCAACATACAGCTTGTGGACCCCTGGGGGTCCTGGGATCCCAGTTTGAGAACCTCTGATCTAAAGGTCAGATAGAAGCAGCAAATAGTTAGCTAAAAACGCCAAAGGGTTGTCTAAAAGTTTAAAGTGACAAAAGCCTAACTATTTGTACCTAAATGTTAGCTAAACATAGCAAAAGGCTAGCTAAAAGCATCAAAAGATTTACTTAAAGCTACAAGTAGCAAAAACCTAGCTAACTAAAGGTTAGCTAGAAGTACCAAATAGTTGGCTAAAAGTAGCAAAAGGTCTAGCTAAAAAACAAGAGCACCAAAGTGTTAACTAAAAGCCACATGTAGCAAAAGCTTTTTATTGATTTAAACACATTTTGCATCTAAACGTGAGCTAAAAGCAACTAAAATTAGCAGAAAAGTAGCTGAAAGTGCCAGAACAGAAGCTAAAAGTAGCACAAAAAGACTAAAATAAAGCTTGCATTTTGAAACAAATTTGGAAATAACTTTTTTTAATTATCTGAAGAGATATCAGTGTAATGCTGTGGGAAGTTATTTGAGTAGATTAAAATAAATGGGAAGATAGAAAAAAATCAGGAAAACAATAGTGAGCAAAATTTGCATTTCATGTTTTGATGATCCTTGTGGGTCTTTTTTCCACAAACAATTAGCACATTTTGTTTTTGTCTCATTATACCCTGATTCAACTTATTTTCAACACTCCTGCTGACAGTAAATCTGTGCACTTTTTTAAATAATGCCTAACTTGTATGTTTGACATAAAACTATCTGTCTTATTGTTGGCCTACGTAAGCAAGTAATGAATTTTTCTTATTAGTAATTAAGTTTTCTCTATTCACCTGTAGTGTTTCCTAAATGTGAGCCTTCAAGTGTCGCTGTGTTAATGGTTTTTAACAAAAACAACCACTAAGCTGCTGTGTCCTTGTCAAAAAGTCACAGCGTGGATTTACAATTCTGGCAGAAAAATCTAGATGTTGTCACAAAACATTGTTCAGTGAACGTACGCACTCCACAATCAATAATAAGACTTCTCACACCCCGATGGTGTAAGAGCAGATTAAACAAATCTCTCCACTGCAGGCTGATCTCCGTTTTGTCCCGAAGAGAGCAGCAGCAGCTCTGGGTTTGGTCTTTTGGTTGGTGGCAGAGCAGGAACATGTGGTCGTGCAGCGGCCAATGCCGAGCCCAGGGCAGGCAGTCGGCACTGTCGGAGCAGCAGCGGAAAGAAAACCTCTCTTAAAAAGACAGACGAGACACGGGAGAGGGAGGATTCGGTTACGGAGCAGAAGATCAGGATGCGGCGGGAGGTGGATGCTGCAGAGGAGGCTGCAGGGAGGTGAAAACAAACAAACGGGACAAGCTGTACTTTCCAAGTCTGAAGATGTAGGCGATACACCAGAGGAGCGCTCGGTCAGAGTGGGTCTGTGAACGCACCGTAACATCACAGCACTTGTGTTTCAAGACTAGTGAAGGTGGCGAGCTGCAACCTGAGAAGCTCCACTTCCACCTAGGATGACTAATTAGTAATTACTCATCAAGGAGCATAGAATCACCCCGGTGAGAAAACTGCAAAGTCACCCTGAGCGTGATGTTCAGGTTTTGTTTTCACACTTGTTTTCGTCCATGACAGTTCCCTGATGTTCCTCACATGCTTTGCTGAACTCTCCCTGGTTTTAAGTGGCTGTGAATGTGCTCCGCTCTCAGCCGAGCGATGGTCTAAGTGAGGCTGTTAACCTCTCGATGTGTTGTTGTTATCCAGGATCAGATGTTGTCCACGGCTCAGCAGATGCTGCAGGATAGTCGCTCCAAGATCGAGCTGATCCGACTGCAGATTATCAAAGTGACCCAGGCCGGCGGCGGAGGAGAGGATGATGGAAACCATAACAACTCCACTCACGGAGGTCAGCCCTGGGGCAAAGGAGTCTTAGTACTCCTCAGAGGGTAGTCAGAATTTGACTTATATAAAAAGCACGAAAAACAGATTTTTGTAAAGGATAGAAAATTGACCTGCCTAAAGTGAATTACCGTAAATGTGGCAAAAATCTGTACGAAAAGCTATGCTGCCATAAATAAAAGACCATAAACAATAGAAAAGTTGTGCCACTTTAAACAAATGACCATAAATTCAAATAAAGCTATGCTGTTAAAATAGAAAAAAATTATGTACAGTCTGAAAAAATTACCGTAAAGACTAGAAAAGCTGATCCAGCTAAACTAAATTACCGTAAATGCGATGAAAGCCGTGTTGCTTAAATTAAATTTCTGTAAACTCAAATGTTAAAGTAAAACAAAGTGTTCGTGTGGGTCCAAAAATGGCTTTGTTTGGGTCCAAAATCCAGACTTCGGTCCACTATTTGAGAACTAGAATTCAACAATAACAAATGTGGCAGGGTTTTAGAAATACATCTGCAAAAAAAGTCAAATTGTTATTGAAAACCCTGCAGTTTTCTCATCGGTTTCATTTTTTTCTCCACTGGCAGAAAAAAAAAAATCCGGTTGTTAAAAATGTCAATCTTCTGTTTAGGAGGATTACAGCTTACAAATACATTTTATAATGTAAATACAAGATTTATTAAATTGAAAGGGATCAGTTATAGATTAAAAAAATGGTCAAATTTCTTAACATTGCTTGCAGCTAAAAGATGGATAATATTACCTACATTTCATTACAAAACATCAGATCATCCACTGGATGGTTTTAATGAAACTCTTATAAAGTACTTACTGAATGTACGTCTAAAACTAAAGCAACAAAAAAGAAAGCATTAATTTAGCTCTCAGTACCTGAAGCAGGAAGTAAACGTGACGTTTTGTTTACTATGTGAAAATATGAAAAAACTGTTTTCTATAACAGCAACACATCTCTCAGCTGGTGCTTTATTCCCTGACCCCTGACCTCCCTCCTGCTCACTGATTGCTCATTATGCCGTAATTCGTGGGGAAATGACCGTTTATTCTCTGCAGGCGCCTTTAATTGACTTGTTTGTTAGAAGAATGGTTAAATATGAACGACAGAGAAAACAAACTACAAACGTATTGACAAAGAAAAAGACTGAAGATGAAAAATTACAACAAGTATGCTTCTCAAAACTAAGATTATACACACACACACACACACACACATATACTGTGTATATAT